CCAGGAGAATTTCTCTGATAGTTTCTGAATGGGGTGTACATTCCCTGGTGCTATCTGGTGAGCATTGACAGAACTGAAAGGGGGGCAGAGACCCTCAGTTTGTGAGGACAGGAGCCCTCTGTAGTGAGTCTGGAAGGCAGGTGGGAGTGGAGGTTCTAATACCCCCTTTTCAGCAACGTCAGTTCCAGGGAGAGACGGAGGAGCATGCTGATGTGGGGGACAGTCTATAGCCCAACAGAAGCAATGGAAAGGTCACACCAATGACTCCTTGTTTCTAGGATGGGAATCACACATATCACCACCAGCTCTTAAAAGAAAACCGAAACATTAGAAATTAAAGGATCCAGACAAAGGAGGTTTGGCACCCACTAGTTTCTGTCAAGTATATTTAGTATTTGATTCCTTTTAGGTTCTGTGGGGCAGTCAGATACATGCAACTTAAAATTAAAAAAATATTCATTTTGTATTTTTGAGTGTTTTAAAATGTTTGTGTGTGTGTGTGTGTGTGTGTGTGTGTGTGTGTGTCTGATGCCCATGGAAGTCACAAGAGGGTGATGGATCCCCTTGAACTGAAGTTAGCCGATGGTTGTGAGCTGCCATATGGATGCTGGGAATTGAACCTCCCCCAAACAAGAGCCTTAGTCACTGGCTTTCATGTATGTTTTCCAAGATCATTGTGTGCAGAGAACACCACTGACTGCTATATCTTGCTTACCTAGGTTTTACTAGGGCATTGTACATTTTTGGATAATTATTATTTCATAGTTTACAGATATATTAAGAAGATTAATTAGTAAAAATAACTGTAGAGCATACATATCCCATGTACAACTTGTATGAGCCTACATATACAGGCTCCTAGCCCTCTTAGCATGCAAAGCCTATGGCCAGAAGTGGAGAGGTGTGTATCTTTGTGATTTAGGCCTCACAGTTCAGCTCTCTGAATTTTTTTTCATTTAGTTCAAATTAGGAACCAGCTTGCTTTACATGTCAATCTCTTCTCCCTCTCCCTCCCCTTCCCACCAAGCCCCCCACCAGCTCCCCACCCTATCCACCCTCTGCTCCCCAGGGAATGTAGGGCCCTCCATGGGGGCTTCCCAAAGTCTACCACATCATCCTGGGCCGGGCCTAGTCCCTCCCCCAGGCCTGGAGAGCATCCCTTCACGTGGAATGGGCTCTCAAAGTCCCTTCTTACACCAGGGAAAAATACTGATCCACTACCAGGGGCTCCATAGAGTGCCGAGGCCTCCTTCTAGAATTTGTTGCTTCTCACTGGGAAACAATCATTTGCAGTTAGTTCCAGAAGGACTTCCAGAGGCTTGAACTCTGGCTCTCTCTAGAATTCCTGGACTCTAAACCTACATGAATTAGCGTGGAACAGTGAATTAGTTACTTGTTTGCCAAACTGACAACTTTTTCTTATTAATTTTGCTCTTTTAACCTCTTCTTTCAATTATGAAAATCAAAGCAACAAAAAATTAGCATACCAAAAAGACAAAACAGTAGTTCAGTACTACCACATTGTTGACACTGTATAAATGCACTCTATCTCCCGTTCTTCCTCTCTCTTTCTCTTCCTCTACTCCCATCTCTACCTCTCAATCCATTTGAAAGGAAATTTCTCATGAAACTTGACCTTCTTTTATTATCTTATCTCAATTTTACCAGTATATTATATAAATAACATTCTTCTTCATAAACACAGTAACATGCCACATCTAAAGCAACAACAGCATTTTCCTAATCTATCTAATCAACATTCAAGTTGCCAGCCTGCCTTTAAGATAACTTTTGATTATAATCCAATTTCCTTTTATTTAGAATAGTCCCACACTATTTGGCAGTGTTCCTATGGTGGTTACCCTTTAGAGACAAGCTGTTAAGCTGCTCAATAGAATATGCCATATTCTGGATATTTGGATGAGCTATCTTGCAGCATTGTTTTGGTTTCTCTCTCTAGATCTTTATTTGCAACTGAGTGGAAGTTAGCACTAAATAACCCGAAGCCTTACATCACCCTACCTGTTTTCAAAAGGGAAACAATGGGCTTGGTTAGTTTCACTGAAGAATATACTTTTCTTTTTCATCCTTTTTCCATTCTCACCAAGTCACTCCTTCCCAGGCCACTGGTCATTTCTCTGCCTCCTCTGCTCTTACTTATGCATCCCTTGTGCTAAAGACATTTCACCTTTGTTGGATGCCTCTTTCAAATAGGAGAGAAGATAAATTGCAGAAGTCTCATTTTCACAAAGTTTTCATAAAGATTTTAGATCTTTAACTCCTACACCTTAAATAGTCTCTTTATAATGTGTCTGTGGTGTCCATAAAGATGACTTTATGCTTTTAGAGTTTGAAAGTCACTTAACATTTCTTTAGCTCACCATGTCCATGTTTTAAATATTTCGCCCATTTATTCAATAAGTTGTACTCCATGTACACCACTAGTTACCAAAGACAAGAATAATTGAGATGCCATTACTTCTCTTGGTGATTTAAATTTTGAGTGGGAAACATACACATTAATAATAATTATCATTTCACTCATGAAACTTTCCTAGCTTTCACATTCTGAATTCAAATTGGTTTTCTGTTTCCTTCAGGCAACATAGTAATCAGTGTATGACCAGTGTTGCATTTATATTGAAGCATTATGATTGCTAATTTTCACTTTTTTTCTGCATGAATCTTGGGTTCTTTGGGCTTCTTTATCACCATGTCTCCTACACCTATTTGATCCTTGAAGCCTAACAGATGCCAAAAAATGTCTGTTGAGGGTGGTTCTTCCATGTTACCTGTAACTCAAGAGGAAGAGGACAACTGGTGTAGACATAATGAGAAGGTAGTTTGTTTTTAAATTGTGCTAAAGGATAAATAGATGAAGATGGGGGAAATATCACAAGGAGAGAAAACTCCATATTGAACTGCTTATAGATTCTCTAGAACAAACTGACATCTCAAAAGGCAAAATGGAAGGAACAAATTTCCCAAGAACAAGGTAGATTGGAACTGGACTTTAAAAAGTCTTGATTGTTAAATTGAATGTTTTGGATTTTATCCTGTAGGGAAAAAAAGGGGAAAACCTGTGTGTATACAATTAAAGAACAAGAGTGCAGAGGGCATGAATTTGAGAAAGAGCAGGGGTGGGGTGGGAGTACAAGGGGGGGATGGAGGGAGGAAAGGGGAGATGATGTAATTACTTTTTAATTTAAAAATTAAAAAATATTAAAAGCAGTGTTATGTTGTATATATGTGTTTATGGTTTTGTATGTATATCATACATACAGACACACATATATGTATGTACATCCATGCACACGTGGGCTTGCGTATGTCATGGTGCATGCATGGAGGTCAGAGGACAACTTCTGGTAGTCAGGTCTTTTCTTCCACTTTCATTTGGAATCCAGGTAGGTAAAGACAAGCTTCTTTACCTACCGTGCCACTTCAAGGATCTCTCTACTGTGTTTTCTGAGACGGAGTCACTTACTGAACCTGGAGGTCTATGGTTTAGCTAGGTTTCCAAGCCAGCAAGTCTGAGGGATCCTCCAGACTCAGCTCAGTGTGGGGTTACGGCTGCACAATGTCCTGTCACACCTGGCTTTCTACACGATTGTTGTGGATGGGAATTCAGGTTCTCATGCTCGTGTGGCAAGCCCTTTACCACTTGATCCATATCCCTAGCCCCCAAAGCTTTTGAACATTGAGAAATAACATTTTTAGAATGATTAATCTTATATTGGACTAGAATGGATAAACCTAGTCAGTGTCTAAGAAGGAAAATACTAAGATAGCTATACTTTCTCTCTCTCTCTCTCTCTCTCTCTCTCTCTCTCTCTCTCTCTGTTGTAGGCCTATCTAGTCATACTACAGAAGGAGAGCAGGGCAGAACTGTTGAGTTTGAGGTTATGGGATGTGGACATAAGTTCAGTTCCTAAAGGAGTGAGACAAGAGAAATGAGTTACTCCAAATAAAACCACGGTGAAGAAGGAATTAAGTGTGATCATAAAAAGAGAGACAATGCTTACTAAAGAGGCTGAAAGGAAAATCAAGTATTGTAAGCATGGACTACAATAGAAAAAGACAGTCAAATTGTTTAAGTGCTGGCTGTGGCCTAGGAATGAGGAGGAAATAGAGCAGTGGAGATAATTAAACATTAGTTTGCATATAGCGCTTAAGTTAATAATGTTCACCTCCCATTCCTGTTTCCATATACACATGGAGATATATGTACACACACAGGAATTTACATGTTGTTTACATCTACAATTCTATTCTGGCCCTCTTGGTTTCTCTGTAGAGCTAAGGGATTGTTAGTCAACTAGTTAGTTACTTCAAGGCAACATGCTTTATAAAGAACTGTTTCCTGGCTATTTGCTTTTCTACTGGTTGGAAGTGAGTAGGCTCTACCTATTCACCTTCTTACTATTTCTTATTACCATTTACAACAGATGAAACTGCAGCTGAAACCCATTGGCAGGTTGATAGGAAGAGCATGCTAAGACAGGACTGTGAGATGGTGAGAGCATCCTGAAGGCACCAGTACATCTTTGTTCCATCAGGGTTAAACTTCGTACTCAATGTCACTAATCCCAACCCAGAAAGAAAGGTGTGTTCCAGAGGAATTTGCTCTGGGCTTTGTTTCACACAGATCATCACGTAAAATCTTTCGGTACTTGCAGCAACCAGAGATGAGGGACCAATCCTGCTTGGTTCAGGATTTGTGTAAGGAGAGTGTTGTGATGCAAGAGTTTGCCTCAGGAGCCTACAGTAAGCCTGCAACTTTCAAATGAGACTAAGAACAGCATTGGTCCTAATCTCCCTTTTCTGTTAGTTTATGTCTACATTTTCTGTCAGTGAAAGAATGGCCAGGAAGCAGTCCTTTAGAAGGTATGTTGCTTTGAAATAACCAACTAAATAACCTTGTCTCTTTCTGAACTTTCAGGGTAGGTCCTGGAAGCAATAGTGACCTAAGTAATTAGAACAAGTGATGAACAATGCTAAACAATTATAACTCCTATTTTATTTGATGAATCATTAACCCATTCATTCATCTTCCCATCATCCTTTTAACATTATTCCAACTATATGTCCAGTATTGTTTCCAACATTAGAGATGTATCAGTCAACAAACACATTAATTTTTTTTGCTTTTGTATAACTTAACTTCAAGGGATGAGAAACAGTAAATAGTAAGCACACAGTCTAAATATAAACTATTTTATAAGGTTCTAGGCACCACCAGGAATGAAATGCAGAGGGAGGCTTCAGGGCAAGAAGGAGAAGAAAGGAGGCAGTGAGGATTGCAGGTCATATGGAGAAGTTCACGAGGCTCTTGGGCATCAGTCAAGGGTGCCCTACTCAAGGTGATTTGGAAAGGGAATCTTGTAGTACTGCAGCAATAAAGCACACAGGGCTAGCTGTGTGCACCCTGTGAGGAAGCAGAAAAGATGGCAGGAACTGGATTGGCTGAGCTGTTTCATGTTTAAATATACTAGTTGAATGTTAAAATAAAAACCCGGATGAAAATTTCTATGAAGAAAAGTCTGTTTCCTTAGCAAGCCAGTGTTCTCTGCCATTCCATGAAAACCTGTATCCCAAAGACCCAAAGGCAAAAAGTTAGCCCTAAGAGGAACAGTTTGAATGTATGCTGCAGTGCGAAAAGCTGGAGGAGATGGAGGGGTGGGGTGTGACGATGACCCCCATGACGGTGGGAAGAACGGAACTGCTGCTTTGGAGGAGCTAACAGAACAGGGTGGGGAGGGCAGCTATCTGTGTTCTGTTTGCCCCAGTGGTTCACAATCAGTGTGGTTTTTAGATTTGACAGCTGCTAAGCCAGGACAGGAACAGCGGCTTCAGCAGCCTAGGAAGGTAGACTAACTTCACCCAGCCCCCTGCCCCACCAGACCCTTCAGCAATTCCCACTTCATCTAGGGAGTAGATCTGATAGGAGTTCCACTCAGCCTGGGTTCCCCTAACCTGGTGCCTCCTCATTCACGCTCCCAGGCATTCCACAACGGAAAGTCCTTAAACTCTCTGGGGGAGAGCCAAGGCAATTAATTTTCCTAGGGAACACTTCATATTTCAGTTCCACACCAGTCTTCAAATTCCATTCAGGTGATTGTGCATACCTGCAGATATGATCCTTGGTCTACATACGCTAGTGCCTAGGGGATGATGATCTATGTGCTCACCCTGTGGATTTCCCTGGCAGAACATAATAATGAATCTCAGGGCTGCAGAGACCTTTCAAGATCCTTAAGACCTTGTGTTTGAGTCAGCACTATTGCAGACAAGTCAATGCCTGGCCCAACGAGGCAGATGGCTGTTAAACATGAGGGACAGAAAGTGATGCCAGTTGGACTGGGTTCTCAAGCAATCTCTGGCGGGACTCTCCTGGTACTCCAAGAAGATGATAATCCCTCACCCAGGTCTGAAATAATGAGTGTCCAGATTCATTATTCTCCATGTCTTACAATTCTTCCAACACCTCTGAAGAGCATGTGTCAAAAATCAGACATATCACTTTCTGGAAGATTCTAACCCACCTTTTAGCAGTTAGTCTCTGATCTAGAAATAACTACGAACAGGTTTACAACCCAGATAGAGTGTATCCAGTATCCTAGACTTTCTACATGTGTTTGAAGAAATTCAGTAATCTAACATAAAAGTTGCCTGGGAAATGTAAATAAACATTTATTCACCCTCAATAGGGCACCAATGAATTATATAACAATTCCACTTAAGTCTAGTTTGTTAAGCCAATGAGTTTATTTGGCTTACTTACAAGTGCATGGGTGACTCCAAACAACCCTATCACCAAAAAGTCCCTCCCCGGTATGGATGATGACTTCCCTGTGGATACAGAGAGGGCGTTCCCACTCCAGCTAATGTCCTACACTCTGCATCGTCCATCACCTCCCAAGACTGTGAGCAACTGGGGCAGGATTGCATACAGCTGGGAGGAGGTGTGCAGGAGGGAGTGGCTGGAATCTCAGGAGAGAGTAATGATCCTCTCAACCCTTTCATTGGATGACAGAATGCCAATAGGTTCTATCCTGAGGGAGCCTTGCAGAGAGTCACAGCCTCTCTGATTAAGATGGCAATGCCTGCTTTGTGCAGTTGGCAGCATGCCATAAGGAGCAAGTATAAACACACCTAAGATCCTCCTCTCCATATTTTAACTTCCATTATGTATTTTCCCTGCTTTATTTTGTTTTCCTACAGGAACATACAGAATTAAATATCTTTGTGTGTTTGGCCCATGTTACAATAAGTTGGACACAAAATGCTTATCTGTGGCTTAAAATCAATGTCATAAGCTCTTCCTCTCAGGTAAATCCAGGTCACTGCCTGTGAATATAGGCAGGAGACTGGAAGTTTAGCACTTCTCTGGAAACCTTAACCTCATAGCTCTGATGATCCAGCCTGACAACTGTCACAGTGTTAGTGTAAAACAAGTGGTGACAAAGAATCAGTTGATAAGGAGACAACAATTAAAAAAAAAAAACAGTCAAGAGATGCTGTGGACTAAGAACTGTCGAGGCTTTTATCCCTCCCGCCCCCCACCCCCACACACGCTTGTTCACTTCTCCTCGCCAAGACTTCCGAAAGTAAAATGTTTCCTTTAAGTTCTCCACATGTGCCCAATTAAGCATTTATGAGGTTTTCCTCTCTATATAGTTTCCACCCTGTTAATTAGGAAGAAGTTTCATAGGATGGAGGAGCCAAATAATGTAAGATAGTGGTTAAACATTCAAGTTTGGAATCAGACAACTTCAAATGCAATACCTGCTCCGCCACCCACCTTGTTACTCAGAGCCCTGTCCTGCCTAAGACTTACTTCACCATCTCTAAGAATGGAAATGATACACACATCAGTTCATGGTGAGGCCTTCCATTCATTCAAATGCACACTAGAGCACTCCAGCAAAGCTCAACTCCATGCTGTTCCTGGGAGATGATAAGAGTTGGGACCTGGTGAGATGAGGGCCAGGAACAGGTGACCCAGATTTGTTTCTCTTCGGTGAAGTAGGAATTCTGGTTACAGATCCGGAGAGAGCTCTTCCACTCCCTCAGGTGGGAAGGGGCGGAAATGATTCATGGCACCTGGAGGAGAATGTCACCGCTGTGGGAAGAGAGACTGTGTGGGAAGGTCTTTGAGCGGCACTGTAACTTTCCCTGTTTCTCTGCCTTGGTTCGGGATCTACGCTGGGATTCTGTAGTTCTTTGGAAAGGGCTAGGGAAGGGTCACAAGGCTGGCGCATTCTACAACCAAGCCAGTGTTTCTTCAGGTCTAAGACTATCCTGTACAAACCAGACAGGTTCCATACAGCCCTGAAAAGAATAGGAAATGTTTCATCAATGGCTCAGTAATAGAAATATTTAGTTCAGGCTTTAGTATTTGAGCATATGTCATTTAACATATCATAAAAGTGCATTTCCCCCTACTAGACCTTGAAAAGATCAGCATTCATCCCACCCACGAAAAACCTCAGTGTTCTTTTGTGTTTATATCTGTGTGTGCATTTGTGTTTATGTGTGCATTTGCGCATGCATGTGTGGAGGTCAAAGGGTGGTGTTGGATTTTTTCTCAAACTCTATGTATCTTTTTTTCTTAATAATTAAAGTTGTTTTTAGACAATTTTGTACCAGTATGAAATGCACACTGAGCTGTCAACTCCTATCTCCCCATTCCTCACGACAAATTTCCTCTTGTTCACATCCATGTCTATTTCTTCTTCTTCTTCTTCTTCTTCTTCTTCTTCTTCTTCTTTTTCTTTTTGTGACCCACCGAGATAAACATGATTGTCTGTGTAACTATGGATTTGGAGCTGTCTGTTGAACCAGGTCCATCTGTCAACTTGCCATTTCCCAAGGCTTTTGTCTGAACAGAGACACCAGACCCCTGTGAACTCAACATCTATCCTTGGAGATTAGCCTAGAGAGAGAGAGAGAGAGTTTAAAGCAGTGGTTCTCCATTCCTCTCTTGGGTATATACCCAAATAGTGCATGTTCATACAACAAGGACATATGTTCAACCATGTTCATAGCAGCATTGTTTGTAATAGCCAGAACCTGGAAGCAACCTAGATGCCCCTCAACTGAAGAATAGATAGAGAAAATGTGGTACAATTATACAATGGAGTACTACTCAGCAGAAAAAAGCAATGGAATCTTGAAATTCGAAGGCAAATGGATGGAACTAGAAGAAACCATCCT